AGCTTTGATCAGAATAACAAAGAGTGTTAAGAGTACAAACAGAGATTATCATCAGGAATCTGAATTTTGAAAATAACCCTTTTTAATCAAGGTCATGATAATAATAATAATAATAATAATAATAATAATGACAGTAATAGATTTAATTTAAGTACACATGTACTTTTACATGTACATCTGATAGTATCATCAGATGCAATTCTATCAGTGCAAAGGCAAAAAAGGTTTAGAATGTGTCCATAAATATATGTATAAAAAGTTTATAAATGAGCAACCTCTATACTTGCTAACTCTCTACTCAACTTAAAAGGAAGATAAAACACGCATCATACTTCACACATCACACAAGACATTTTGCATTCTCCAGGCATTCAGCTTGCATAGCTCTGTCTTCACAAAATTGCAAAGTTCCAGCAGCATTTTTTGCTGTTAAAGCTTTTGCATAAAAGCTATTTTTAAATCTTTTTGTCCTTGTTTTTAATGTCCTGAAACATCTGCTCGAGGGCAGCAGTTCAAACAGAAAGTGTCCGAGGTGGGATGGATGTTTCAGGATGCTCTTTCCTTCTATGAGGTACCGGGAACTGTAAAGCTCTTCCAGGGAGGAGAGAGGTGATCTTCTGTGATCACCCTCTGAAAGCACTTTTCTCTCTTCTACTGTGCAGCTGGGAAACCACTCTCTACTTCTCTGAGCAGTGATAGAAGGACATAAGCAGATTTTTGAGTGAGGCAAAGTCTCTGCTTTGCCTTCTTCCAGGTCAGCTCCTCTTCTGCTTGGATGCCCAGGAATCAGTCCAATAATTTATCCACACATGAAATGAAAATGGTCTGAATATCCATTTTCTACCTCTTGTAGTCAATAATCAACACCTTGGTCTTGGTGGTGTTAATGATCAGGTTGTTATCACTACGACAACCAGATAAATACTCCACCTCCACCTAATAAGCAGACTCATCACTCCCTTAGATGAGTCCCATTAAAGTGGTGTCATCTGGAAATTTAATGAGGTTGTTGCTGGAATGGGTGGGGGTGCAGTTGTGAGTATAGAGGATGAAGAGTAGGGACTCAGCACACATCCCTGTGAAGAGCCGGTGCTGAGACTGAGGGCTGAGAACTTGTAGCAGCCTACTCTCACCTTTTGGGAGTCAAAGAGACAGAAAGTCAGACCAGAAGTGACTGGACACTCTGTCAGTTTTGTCACCAGTTTGTGAGGGAGGTTGAAATCTACAAAGAGCAGCCTCGTGTAGCTCAGGACAACAGTAAGGAGTGTTGTGGTTATGGTGTCCTCTGTAGGCCTGGTAGCTCTGTAAACCTCATTCCTCAGCATGGACCAGAAATTCAAAATGGTGTGAGAGAGTTGAGTAATAAATGAAAAGGAAAGTCATGAAATGAGTAAGGGATTCTGATGATGTTGCAAGACTAAAAAGACTGAGGAAGAAAGAAATGTTAGAGAGGGCATTTAGGCTACTCATCACAGCAGGATAAACTACTTACCCAAGAACGACTCACAGCATGAAATCGGAATGACTTGAGGGCAACATGGAGAATGGAGCATTAATAAATAACAGAAAATGTCAGTGCAGAGAGAAGTTCCAGTGAAAGAACAGGCATCAAAGAACAAAAAGAATGATGGAGAAGAAAAGCAACCCCAAAAAGCCATGAAAAAGTAGACTTCAAGTAGTGTGAGTATTCACGAAGAAGACTCACAAAAGAATCAGGAGGCCAAATGCGTCATCACAGACGTTATCACAATCAAAATGAAGACTCACACAAGATGAACAACAGAGGATGCCATTACAGGCTGGAATGAACACAAAAAGACTGGAACAAAAAAACAATACCAAAAATTACCAGTGGTTATAAAAGTAGTTCAAAAGAAAAATCCCTGTTTCACTCTTTTCTTCAAGAGCCAACATATCATAATATCTCAGTTAGATCCATCCATGCAGTGCAAAATATGTGCATTTGAAAGGCAAATAGGGCCAGCGAAAGACACTGAGGTCAATTTTTTCTTTATTGTAGCACAAATGTATTAAGACCAGACTAGAACTCTACATAAAGTAGGGAGGTAACCTTTCTATAGTAAACCTAAAGAGACCAGCCCTCCTTGAAATTATTTCAGGAATCAGTCCAACTCTAATCTGAATAAAAAAGTGATGCAACTAAGCTTGTTGACCCATACTGGGAAAACAATAAGCATAGTTGTGCAACACATGAGAAAGAAGACCAAAAAAACCCCAAAAACATATCTACAGCAGATAATGCACATAATGTTTCCTCTGAGAGTGTAAAAGCTCATTTGACAAATGCATCTGTTTAAAATGTGCGGTCTTCCCAGTCTGTAAAATGCTAACAAATGCAAAGTGCCACACTACACAAATCTACACTAGGATAACAGCTGGTCACCACTATATAATGCAAATAAGAGAAATCACTGTCAGCTACTTAGAAAGGGAAGGTAGAAAAGGATATCACAATGCGTTACACGCACACAAAAACTCAAAGACACTGCCGATTGCTGAATTTCCTGAATGAGAGAACAAGTGAAGCAGTATCAGAAGCATGCAGGAGTCCTAAACAATCAAGCACACTGTAGGGGCTGTAAAGACTGGGGGCAGGTATAATGGAGTCATGCAGGTGTCCAGAGCAGGGAAATGGACTAAAACAGGCTTGGTACTCTAAGACTGGAACCAGAGCCAGCAAGGCTGCAGGGCAATGAGGTAAGCAAATAATTCCCAGAAATAATCTTACAGGTTGCAAAACTCAGTGACTCCTTCACCTAAAATTGTCTACTCACTCGGACACTGTGTTAATATGGAAACCCAACACCAACAATGTCCTGGTTTAACTCAAGGCAGTATAGAAGAAAAACAATCTAAGATTCCCAACATGAAAGAGACAGAAAAAGGTAGATACTGAAGAAAGAAGAAATACTGACACAAATGTTGGCTGGACTCTTTTCACATTTATGTAATTATGGAAGGTTTTGAGAGAGTTACAGGGATAGTTGGGAGAGAATAATATAGACACTTGCGCACAGACTACTGATCAGGAGTTTTGATAACCTTTTGCTATTAGGAGTCATTTTTCCCATTCTGAGGGAATTTGGTAAGATATATGACTGATGGTCCATGTAAGCCGTGGGAGGGACGCCATTTTCTGTGTAGATTGAAACTGTGGACCCACTCACTCATTTACTAACCCACCCACCCATTCATTCACCCATCTATCCATCCATCGTAGGAGCAGCAGCCTAAACAGAGAGACCCAGACCTCTCCCTCCCCAGCTATATTCTCCAAATTATCTGGTGGAACACTGAGGCGTTCCCAGGCCAGCCAAGAGATATAATCTCTCCAGCACGTCCCGAGTCTACCCTGGGGTCTCTTCTCAGTCACGCATGCCTGGAACACCCAGGAGGCACCTTTGTAAGATGCTCGAACCACCCCCCTTTGACGTGGATTAGTAGCTCTAACATTTTAACCCATCTTTGAGAAGTTACTGTTGAATTATTAAACTATAAATTCTGAGAAGGTAGACGCAACGGAGGTCAGGGACCTTTTTTAGGACAACGTTTGTCTCTCTGCATCATGAAGGCTGGGCAAACACTGTCAGTAACAAATTTTGCACTTACAAAACCCGAACATTCATTCATGATTAATGCTAATTAAAATGAAGTCTTCTTACAGTCTGAAACTACTAAGCACTTCCCAGTGCAACAAAAATATTTGAAAGGAAGAATTAAGAAACACTGAGGGGGGTGGGGGTGCAGTCAGAGTATTTAACAGCTTAAAATAGAGTGATTTTCTCAAATGCCTCAGTGATTACAGTTTTATTGTTCATAATCTTAATCTTGTTGAGCAATGCCCTTTGCACATGCAGATCAACTGAATATGTTGTGGCTGCTGGAAGACTTGCTGAATAGAGGCTGATTAGAGGCTGATTTCCACCCTGTGGTACACAGAACTTCACAGTTTGAGACCTTGAGAACTCATCACAGCCAAGGCAAGTTTGCCATTAGTACTCATATTACCGGATTGTTTATCTCAAATTACTCCATCTGTTCATGACCAGTTCTTGAAGAAATATCCAAGAACATGTTTTGTACAGCATAAAAGGATATCCAAGCAGACTGTCTTCAGACAAACTTTAGACTAAGCAATCTTAGGGTCATGTTGACGATATGATTAAACACGATTTTCAACCTTAGCCTCTGCATTACTAGAAATTTTCATATGATTATTGTTTTTATTTTTCCAAAAGGAGATCAAATGTTAAATCAGAGTAATCCTCAGTTTTATAAATACTGCTAGGTGACCTAACCATGTGATTCGCGTACAGGTACACCGTGTTGGTACCGGGCTGGGCCCCTTTTGTCTTGAGAAATGCTTTAATTCATAATGACACACATTCAGCAACATGCTGGAAACGTTCCTCACAGATTCTGGTCCATATTGACCTGACAGCATCACACAGTTGATGCAGATTTGTTGGCTACACATTAACGATGCAGGTCTCACATTCCACCACATCACAAAGGTGCTCTGTTGGACTGAGGTCAGATTCCTGTTTACATCTGACAGGAATGGCCCCCGGTGTGGTCTTCTGCTGCAGTAGCCCATCTGCTTTAAGCTTTAATATGCTGTTCATTCAGAGATGCTCTTCTGCACACCTTGGTTATAATGAGTGGTTATCTGACTTCCTGTTGGCTTCCTATCAGCTTAAAGCAGTCTGGCCATTCTCCTTTGACATCACCAAAAGCAAATGTTTTAAACAAGCTTTAGTAAATTAATGTCAAGATTAATTTTAAGATGATGAAGAAGACCATGTACACTTAAATTTCAGTACTGCGTACAGACATTAGATGAAATTAAGCCTACAGAAAAATATTCCAGGATATAAATTAAGATTTAAAAAACAAGAACAACTGTTTCTTCAGGAAAGGAAAACTAATCTTTAAAACGCGCTATAATCTGATCAGAAACTAAATAAGGTAGCAGACAGTGTTTGTATTAATTCATGGTTTTATTTTATTTTTCAAATTTATTTAAGCAGTAAAAATACTCAGTACAGTGTTCAGTGTCTTAACAGTTAATAGTGTGAGCTACTTAAAGTGCACATGGGAATTAGCAGTAAACTTTGACAGTAAGCTCTACAGAGAGAAATCAACTCGAGTTTCACCATGAAATGCAACAAGTCTGGTATGCTGGCAGGATTACACATTTATCAAAGTTATTTCCAGAAGAAAGATGACAGGCATGACCAGATATATACAAGATATCCTTTAAACTCACATGAAACAAATGTCTAAATTTATCGATCATCTAAAAACTACAAAGTCTTTCCAAACTGAATCCTTTAGCTGAGAGAGCTAAATATTTCAAAGATTTCAAAGATTTTCTTTCCCTCAAATCATTAATTTTATTGGGTGATGAAATATTTGAAATCTAAAGTGTTCCTCCACACTTTACAGCAAAAGTATTCCAGTTGCATTAACGTAACCAATACATCTATAAAGTGATATTTCTAATGTGGACGAGCTGTGAATAAACAGGTCTGATTAAGTGCAGCAAGAATACAGTGATGCCTGCAAAGCTACCTAAGCAGCTTTCTTCATAGCGGTCAAGGACATGAGGATACTTGGCTTCTCTTCTATGACTCGCACAAGTAAATTATCAATGTACTGCTCCAGCTCCGATATCTTATAATCTCTCTCCGAGAGCTGGTTCTCCTGTTTCAAGATCAGAGAGATCAGTTCCTCCCGGGTCAGCTGGGAGTAAGGCCCTTTCATCCCACTGTCATCCACCTGTGGAGCGACAAAGCATGCTTTAAAAGTGCCAGGATATAAGAAACTTAAATTCCATCGGCCTATTTCTTGTTGAAAATCTTAAAAAGGGAGAGAGAGAGAGAGAGAGAGGGAGTTAGAAACAAATACCGTTGTTTTGTCCTGAAGTCCACTGGGGATTCCTGTGGATTTGTTTTCATTTTCCTCTTGAACAACTGAGGCACCCTGCTGCTCAAGAGGATTAAGAGGTCTTACCGGCTGAAGCCTGAAATGATGAAAACAAAGCATAAAAGACAGACGTAAGCACCTGTTGAATGGGAGTAAAGGAAACCGTATAACCAAGTACACTGCGCAGTAATCCATTCAACAATTAAACTGAACATAATACCCAATAATAAAACTCAGTTCACCCATATCAAGCTTACTATACTGTACAGAATACATTGAACATTTGTGTAAGTGAAAGCTAATAAGATTGAATGTTGCAAATTACACAAATGAAACGTGCGTACAGATAAAAATATAAATATAGTAACATTTGACCTATAAAAGTTATTCTTTAGCAACCAAACCATCTCACCTGCGTGAAGGTGTAGGGGCCCAGTCTTTCTTCACATCTGTCTCCACTATATTCTGGACTTTAAGGGACTGGGACTCTTGGAGTGGACTCACTGGGACATGCCCAGGACTTGTGGACTCATAATACGGGTCGCATGCTTGGAGTGCATCGTTATCGGGCGCAGCTGCACTTCGATCACCTGTAGCATGGCTTCTTTCCGTGCCCGGGTTCGTTAAAGTGTTCGAGCTGATGTCATTCTTTGCAGGAGGTGGGGGAGCGTGGGCCGTCTTTGAGGATTTGATTTTTGGTTGAGAGGCAGCATCTTTATCTGCACTTTGTGACACAGCTGCAGGCCAGTGTATTGAACCAGTATTACTAGAGACTGCTGTGTCATCTTGAGCTGTGAGCTCACTTTCATCTTCATCATCCTCAAAAGGATTTAAGCCACAAACAACTTTAACTTGTTTGGTCTCTGCGCCGCCTAGATTAGAGCTCGTTTTTGGTTCTGATGACTGCTTTTCTCCCACAGGAGGAGGTACGGACGGCGCAGGACGTTTGCTGTGTTTGGCTTCGTTTGTTGTTCCATTAGCGTTATTGCTTTGCATCAGGCTCTGGGAGTTCTTTGAATCTGTGGGAGACCTACACAGCGGAGCGATCATTTGCACCGAGCGCTGTGGGGGAACACTGACAGTTTTGACATCTTTGTCTTTGCTTTGCTTGTTAATTTGTGCCAGATGTCGTGCCGGCACATCCTGCTCCCTGTGAGGCTGCTTGCCAGCTTGACTCCTTACTGGCGGCTGAGGAGCTGCTCGCTTCTCCCGTTGAGTACTAATCAGGTCCTTTTCATCCACAGAACCAGTCTTACTTCTCACCAATGACATGGCAGAGTGACACCTGGAAATGAGACAGACTATATAACATTTGGGCATACGTCAGCATTTAATTACAGGAATTCAACTGAGGGTTGGTAGGCGTGGGGGGCTAAACACACTAATGATGCAAGTAATATAGATTGATATAATAGGACTTTATTTTTCACAATATTAAAGATACCTTGTCCCAAATTCTCTTGCAATGTTATAGGACAACCAAAAGAAAGTGAAAAGGTAACATAAGATATTGAGATACTATTATAAAAGGAAATGTATTTTAATGTGCTGAGCACATCTGAAGTTTCTTTCCATCTACTTCTTCTGTCAAACTGACTTCTTCACAAAGTTTCTAGTATTTTTCACTTCACATAATGAGGTAAAACTATGCAGTGAGCTCAATCTTTCAGCCCAGTCTGCAAAATTATATAAACTGTAACGCACACATAGCTGTGCAACAGTCACATGTGTCACTTATGTTCCCATTACTCTGCCTCCTGACATCTGACCCATGTTAACACACACACACACACACACACACACACACACACACTAGCACTTTATATAGCCTCTTAACTGCACTACTGTATAGTTCTGTGTAAATAATCATACGATAACTTTTAATTCTACAACTGTTTACAACTTGCATAGTTCCCATTTCTGTATAGCTGTATATCTCATATTTCTGTATAGTTCTTTATTTCATATTCTGTGTAGTTTTTTTTTTTTCATATTTATATCCTGTTCATAGCCTGTACATACTTATAGTTATAGCATATTCATAACATATTACATACCGTAATAGACCCATTCTGTAATATACTTACATATCTATATTATTGCTAATATATATTGTAATATAGCTATATCATGGCTAAAGCACTTCTGGATGGATGCAAACTGCATTTCGTTGCCCTGTACCTGTGACATGTGCAATGACAATAAAGTTGAATTCTATTCTATTCTATTAAATAGAGAAGTACTGAGAAGAACTGCTGCTGACCTGTGACGGAGCAAAAGCACAAAAGGTAACTTCAGATAACACATTCCCTGCATGTACATCATCGTTGTGTTGTTTTTAAATCAACCATTATAATTCAGCTCCACTACCTCCTTTTCTCTTCTGCTCCTGATGCTGTCCTGTTCTGCTTTTAAGCCTGGTCAACCGTGCACATTATGTAATGCTTAACAATGTCAGGCGGTCTAACACTTTAGTTGAGGAAAGGTCTACAGAGGTTCAATGTAACTACCTTGGGGTGATCACCAAGCCTTTTAAGCGTTACCAGCACAGGGCAGTTTCTCTTAAAAGGAAAAGCATTTTAACGTCTGAATTAATTTGCACAAACTTTTTTTGTCGAAGTGTTAATATTCCCGGAGGACACTACAAAGATTTCAATTTTCCTTTGACATTTCGTCCAGCCTTGCCTGAAACCTGTGGTTCTAATTTGTTTTACAACAGCTTTGGAAGGACTTTAATGCACCACTTTGAAAAGGAAAAAAATAAATAAATAAATGAATTGGAAAGAGTGACCTGAATCGCTAAAATCAGGTTTGATTTGCCAACTTTTTACATTCGTGACCAGAAAAAAAACAAACAAAAAAAAATTCCATTGTCTTTATCCACAATTGTACTTGGTACTGAGTGCTATGGAGAAAATGCTAAACAAAGACTGAGAACCTTAAAATTCCATCCACCTTGAGCTGTTGTCTGGTCGTTTTAAAATTACATTAACAAAATTGTTTAAATGCACTGTAAATAAACTCCCTCTGTAAAGTCAGAGGTTCTCGAGAGCTAAGGAGGTTGTATGTATACATGTATGAATGAATTCAAGTATTTCAAGGTAAGACTATTAAATCACACTTTTACTGCAGTGCTTGTGATTGACGTAGCGTATAGCTTTAACTAACCGTTGCTGAACCGTTGGCTCGTCAGCTGTGCTGCTGTCGAGGGACTTGGGAATCTCCTCAAAGGGGTTGGAAGAGAAGGTTTCATCAAAAGGATTAGTGGAAGTGACTGCAGGACTGCTCACTTTGGGTTTCTTCCCTGCAGCCCTAACTTCATCTGTTGTTTTGTTTTCCCTCTTCTCTTGCTCTTCTGCATTCCTCAACTTCTCCAGCTTCCTTGCCTCCTCTTCCTTCTTCTCACTCCTAATCCTCTCCTCTTCCTCAATCCTCCACTTTTCTTGTTCCTGCAGTCTTCTCTCTTCCTCCAGCCTCTCCATTTCTTCCTTTTCCTTTCTAGTCCTCTCTTCTTCCTCTTTTCTCCTCTTCATCTCTTCCTCCATCCTAACCCTTTCCTCTTCTTCCCTTCTAATTCTTTCCTCTTCCTCAAGTCTTCTTTGTTCTTCTTGTTGCATTTTTTCCTCTAACAGTCTTTCATATTCTTCTCTTTGCTTCCTAGCCCTCTCCTCATCCTCCCGTCTCTTCTCCTCCTCTTTCCTAAGTCTTTCCTCTTCAGCTCTTTGATTTTCTTGTTCTTCTAGTCTCCTTTTTTCCTCTTTTTCCATCCTGATCCTTTCTTGTCGTCTAATTTTCTCCTCTGCCTCAATCCGTTTCCTCTCCTCCTCTAATCTCTCATGTTCTTCCCTTTCTTTCTTAGCCCGTTCCTCCTCTTCTTGCCTTTTCTTCTCTTCCTCTTTCTTAACCCTCTCTTCTTCCTCCCTTTGCTTCCTTTCCTGCTCCAACTGTATCCTTTTTTTCTTTTGCTCTTCTTCTAGTTTTTTCAGCAGCTCCTCCTCCTCTTTTTGTCTCCCCTCTTCCTCCTCATTTTCCTTTCTAATCCTCTCTTCTTCCTCAGCTATTTTTGCCTCTCCTAGCCTTCTCCTCTCTTCTTGTGCCCTCTTCTCTTCCTCAAGTCTCTTTTCCTCTGCCACTTTTTGCTCTTCTTGCCTTCTCTTTTCCTCCATCTTAACCCTCTCCTCCTCTTCTAGTCTCTTCTTCTCTTCCTCAATTCTAATCCTTTCCTCTTCATCTCTTTGCTTTCTTCTTTCCTCCTCAAGTTTCCTTCTCTCTACTTCTTTCAGTCTCTTTTCCTCAGCTATTTTTGCCTCTTCTTGCCGTCTCCTCTCTTCCTGTGCCCTCATCTCTTCCTCAAGTCTCTTTTCCTCTGCCAGTTTTTGCTCTTCTTGCCTTCTCTCTTCCATCTTAACCCTCTCCTCATCTTCTAACCTCTTCTTCTCTGCCTCAATTCTAATCCTTTCCTCTTCGTCTCTTTTCTTCTTTTCTTCCTCCTCTATTTTCCTTCTCTCTAGGACTTGTAATCTCTTTTCCTCTGCCAATCTTTCACGCTCTTCTTCCATCCTAACCCTTTCCTCTTGCTCTTGTCTTCTCTTTTCTTCCTCACTTCTAATATTTTCCTCTTCTTTACTCCTTGTCTCCTCTTCCTCTTGTTTTTCTCTGTCCTCAGCTAAACTTTCAAGCCTCTCTTGTTGCCTTTTAACCTTCTCTTCTTTCGTCTCCTCCTCTATTATAGTCCTTTCTAAATCACTCACATTCGCTTTAACGTTTTCAACTTCAGGAGTGTCTTCCTCCTCCTTCTCATCCTCTTCCCAAGGTGAACACTGCCTCGCTGCCTTTTGTTGCTCAGGTGGTGGAGAGTTTTCAGGGACATCCTCCATTGATCCATGACCTGAACTGGCCAGACTGAAGTTTGAGCTGATGCGAGAAGTCCGAGATGGCGGCTCCTCACAGTATACGTGACTGCCATTGATGCATAAATTACTCTGTTCTACAGAAACCTGTTTTTCACGACCAGATGATGAATCCTTGCTGCCTGAGCTGCCCGAGCGTTTATGTATCATGAACTTGAACTTCTTTTTACCTGAAAAGAAGATGAGAGCGTTAACACAACATAATGAAAGAGGAAAGCATTAATGGTGAAAAAGTACATTCCTGACCCTCTGAGGAATCGACATTCAGACCAGATGATTGGCTGCCGGTGAGCGTGGAGTTCTTCCCAGGCAGAACAGACATAGACTGAGACATGCTCTTCTGCAAGTTGGACTTTGGAGAAAACAAAGACTTAATCTTGTGTTTCTTCTGTTTTCCATCCTTGCCCGTCGCCGCTTCACCATCCCCGGTGCCCTCCTCCTCGCTGTCCGTCAGGACCTGACTGAAAGACGGCGCCACGCTGGTCACAGAATCTGACTCCTTTTTCTTGCCACGAACTTTGTCCTTGAACTTGCCCAGACGAGACCGAGATTTGCCAGCAGCAGAAAGGTCGAACATGCTGGCAGTCATGTTGTTTCTCATGAACTGGATATCCAGAAGCACCTCTCCTCTGTCTTTGTCTGGCTTACCAGTCTTATCAAGAAGTTTAAACCATCTGTTGAAGAGACACAAATTATTAGTGTTTTGTACTTATTTACACATCCACTGTATAAAAGTGCAAATCAAATATCTAGAAATATGTGGTCGTTTTAGAGGTGGGGTGCAATCACAAAATCAAGCTACTTGTGACCAAAATCTATCACTCAATCTATAAGTCAAGTGAGGCCTGTCTGAAGGTCCAAACTGAATGTCTCTGTAATGATTATAAAGATCAAATGCACCACAAACCCCTTGTAACAAAAGAAATTAATACTGATCACGATCTAAATGATTTAAACAAATGAGAGTCACCAAGACTTGGACTCATTTATAGTAATGTGAATGTCTAGTCCTGCTCATTTTTCCTCTTTGCAGAAATCATGACCCATCTCACTGCAAATGGAAAGTGGCAGCGTGAATGTTTTTGGAAAGTCTGTGATGATCTAAGCTCAACCAGCGAACTGACCATAAAGGAAAGTCTTAAAAATATAAATTCTGTCAAGTCTACAGCAGCCCTGCAGAATTTATGAAAGCTTGTACTGTGTGTACCCTCAGCAGTTGACAACCTTTATTAAATCCTGTTCCCTTGTTGCTTGTCTCACATGATCAAATCTTCAGAGCATGGTAGGTGTACGGTGCTGATGTTCACTGTCAAAATGTTTTATGCCAGTTTTCCTAAATAATGCAACCAACCCTGCAGGGAGTTAACAAGCCAACTGCCCCTTTGAAAGAGAAAGCTTTCATCCGAGATTTAGTCGGATCCTTGCGAAACTTAGCCTGCCAGGTTCAAGGGAATTTATTCTGTTATTACCCCCCCCCCTTCATCCTTTAAATATACAACACATGCACACCAAAGAGAATTTTGATACAGCTGGATAACAACAACACACCAAGATGACAATAAAGTAACCAATTATAAATGCTGGTTACGCCCTAAAAATTCATTCATAAAATTAAAGTCTCATGTTTAAAATGCTGAAAAATCCTAAACAGACATCCTAAAAATGCCAAGCAAGACCAGACAGGGCCAGCTTTCCAGTGTTTCTGCACCTTCGCCATCCAGTACTGACAGAAGGGTCTCAGAACAGGCAGAAGAAATCTAACACAATAGGAAAAAGGAAAAAAAAAAAAAAAAAAGTCAGTCAGCATAAAAAGTGCCCATCAGGCAAAAATCTGAGGTCAGCTCACCACTGAGCAAACAAGTCCCACTGAAGTCTGGATTCCTAGGGAAATGAGGAAATGAGGACGAGGCCATGCATTTGTTGTTGTGCTGCAGGCTTCTGTCTCTTTCTCTGCATTACACATTATTGTCCAAAGATGCTTTGTGCATGCACGCGTTTGTGTGCCATAAATAGACTTTTCCCTCCAACTTCAGCCCTGACAAAACACAGCCCACTGAAATTCCATATATATATATATATATATATATATATATATATATATATATAAAAAACACCCAGCACGCCCCTGCGGGCGGTTTATCCTTCAAGCTCGGGTCCTCTACCAGAGGCCTGGGAGCTTGAGGGTCCTGCGCAGTATCTTAGCTGTCCCAGGACTGCGCTCTTCTGGACAGAGATCTCCGATGTTGTTCCCGGGATCTGCTGGAGCCACTCGCCTAGCTTGGGAGTCACCGCACCTAGTGCTCCGATTACCACGGGGACCACCGTTACCTTCACCCTCCACATCCTCTCGAGCTCTTCTCTGAGCCCTTGGTATTTCTCCAGCTTCTCGTGTTCCTTCTTCCTGATATTGCTGTCATTCGGAACCGCTACATCGATCACTACGGCCGTCTTCTTCTGTTTATCTACCACCACTATGTCCGGTTGGTTAGCCACCACCATTTTGTCCGTCTGTATCTGGAAGTCCCACAGGATCTTAGCTCGGTCATTCTCCACCACCCTTGGGGGCATCTTCCATTTTGACCTCGGGACTTCCAGGTTATACTCGGCACAGATGTTCCTGTACACTATGCCGGCCACTTGGTTATGGCGTTCCATGTATGCCTTGCCTGCTAGCATCTTGCACCCTGCTGTTATGTGCTGGATTGTCTCTGGGGCATCTTTACACAGCCTGCACCTGGGGTCTTGCCTGGTGTGATAGACCCCAGCCTCTATGGATCTTGTGCTCAGAGCTTGTTCTTGTGCTGCCATGATTAGTGCCTCTGTGCTGTCTTTCAGTCCAGCTTTGTCCAGCCACTGGTAGGATTTCTGGATATCAGCCACCCCCTCTATCTGCCGGTGGTACATACCGTGCAGGGGCCTGTCCTTCCATGATGGTTCCTCTTCTCCCTCCTCTTTCTTGGGTTTCTGCTGCCTGAGGTATTCACTGAGCACTCGGTCAGTTGGGGCCATCTTCCCAATGTATTCTTGGATGTTCGTTGTCTCATCCTGGACTGTGGTGCTGACACTCACCAGTCCCCGGCCCCCTTCCTTCCGCTTAGCGTACAGCCTCAGGGTGCTGGACTTGGGGTGAAACCCTCCATGCATGGTAAGGAGCTTTCTTGTCTTTATGTCAGTGGCTTCTATCTCCTCCTTTGGCCAGCCTATTACCCCAGCAGGGTACCTGATCACGGGCAGGGCATAGGTGTTGATGGCCCGGATCTTGTTCTTACCATTCAGCTGACTCCTCAGGACTTGCCTGACCCTCTGCAGGTACTTGGTGGTTGCAGCTTTTCTAGCGGCCTCTTCATGGTTCCCATTCGCCTGCGGGATCCCCAGGTACTTGTAACTGTCCTCTATGTCTGCAATGTTGCCTTCTGGTAGTTCAATCCCCTCAGTTCTGACTACCTTCCCTCTCTTTGTTACCATCCGACTACACTTCTCCAGTCCGAACGACATTTCAATGTCATTGCTGTATAGCCTGGTAGTGTGGATCAGTGAATCGATGTCTCGTTCACTCTTGGCATACAGCTTGATGTCATCCATGTACAGGAGGTGGCTGACAACTGCTCCGTTCCGTAGTCGGTATCCGTAGCCAGTCTTGTTAATGATCTCACTGAGGGGGTTCAGGCCTATGCAGAACAGCAGTGGGGACAGAGCATCTCCTTGGTAGATCCCGCACTTGATGGTGACTTGTGCTATGGGCTTGGAGTTGGCCTCTAGTGTTGTACGCCACATCCCCATTGAGTTCCTGATGAAGGCTCTTACGGTCCCATTGATCTTGTACAATTCTAGGCATTCCAGTATCCAGCTGTGGGGCATTGAGTCATAGGCCTTCTTGTAATCAATCCAGGCAGTGCACAGGTTGGTCAGTCTGGTCTTGCAGTCTCGGCTGACTGTTCTGTCTACCAGTAGCTGGTGTTTTGCGCCTCTGGTATTCTTGCCAATTCCTTTCTGTGTCCCGCTCATGTATTGACCCATGTGCCTGTTCATCTTAGCCGATATGATGCCTGACAGGAGCTTCCATGTAGTACTGAGGCAGGTTATTGGTCGGTAGTTGGAGGGGACCGTCCCTTCTGGGGTCCTTGGGGATCAGGACCGTCCGACCTTCGGTTAGCCATTCCGGGTGTCTCTCGTTAACTAGCATGCATATATATATATATATATATATATATATATATATATATTATATATATATATATATATATATATATATATATATATATATATATATATATATATATATATACACATATATATACACACACACACACACACACACACACACACACACGCTAAAAGAACTGAATACAGCGCTTCCTTTGGATGATCCAGAGTTAGATATGGTGAGATTTTAATCATCCTAGGAATGCTTCAGATGTCATGCAAACAAATTAAGAAGCTGGGGAAAACGCCTTTTCCTGGAAGTTTTGAAATGGCTTACTGCTGTCAACGATCCACAGCCTCCTACTTGCTGATGAGTAATTGGTTGTGATTTGCAGATTTCAGGCCTTGACATAACTGTGTCATGTGTGGCTTCTTCATGCTTGCCTGATAAATGCCATTCAACAGAACGCGTCTAGATGGGATGGGGACACATCTACAAGTGATATAAAGTTATGAAAAATAATATTTCATTCAATACAAGTAAAAAACAAAAAAAAAATTCCACTTTTTCAGTCATATCATTGCCACAATAACTTGACTGTCTGTCCCGTTCTTTGTGTGTACTGAGATAAATTAGGATAGTTCATCATCTACATGCAATCTAGTACAAGAAGGTTAATTGTTGGATTAAAACTGATTAACTATTTATTCTTAATTTTATGAATTTAAAATGCACATACAGCAGTCAATCAGCAATTTAATGTAAACATGGTCAGACTGAACTGCTGAAGTACAAAGACGAAATATGATAAGTGAATTTGAATGTTGCATACTGTAGTTTCTGTTGCCATTATATTTCAGAAATTGCTAGTAATTGCCTAAACAACCATCTCTAGAGTTTACAGAAGAAAAAGAAAATATCCAGTGGTTAGCAGTTCTCTAAATGCAAAAACACCTTTTTAAGTCAGAGGAGGGGGCAGAATGCAGACAAAGTAACACAAATGACTGTTAAAACCATGGAGGCATGCAGAAGAGCATCTGACTGTGTCAAACCTTGAAGCAGATGGGCTACAGCAGAAGAAAACCACACCAGGCTCCACTTCTGTCAGCCAAGAACAGAAAACTGAAGGTACATTTTCTAATGTCTGACCAAAATTAAACAATAGTCATTATTCTCCTTCAACAGTCTCATATTTAGATGATCAGAGTTGTGCACAACCAACATGAGAGCATGGATCCATCATTCTTCGTACACATCCAGCAAAATCTCTGAGAAATGTTTGTTGAATCTATGCTACAAAGAATTAAGTCCATTCTGATGGCAAAAGAGGGCTCTCACCCAGTACTAGCAAGGTGACACTGAGGTGTCCAGTGACAGCACAGACTAATGACAATGGCCCAGTTGTAGTCTAAGGAGCTCATCATTTGTACTTCAAACCTCTCGGGGCCTACTAAACAGATGAAGAGATTTCTTCCAAAAGATATCCATTTGGCATTTCTGGTGTTAAAGTCTGCTGTCTAGCATGTGGAT